CTTGGATTCCTGGTGTCAATAAAAAATAATTAACAAAGAAATTCCTTCCCCTCACATGACAGAGCTTAGGAATTTATTTCTTATCTTCTTCAGAGCCTGGTATTTAATTATTAGAGGGAAAGATTATAATTCAAAAGAAGCTTGGTAGGATTTGGGGGGGGGGGGTTTGGCTCTGGTCAATTTCATTAAAACACTAAGTTAAAAGAAACTCTTATTATTTCCACTTGCTTTGGTTCTACTTTGTAATATATAAGCCTATAAAATGAAATTTAGAGAACTAAAAACAATTTTTTTCCATTTTACCTAGTATAGTATTGTGTTAAATGCTTTGTATTATGATGAAATGCAGCATTTTGTCATTGTCAGTATTAATTAAAATAGATTAAATTTAATGGCTAAAAGAGTCAGTGTAGTTGGTAAATAATTTAACACAATTGCTTGTTTCATAAAACTAGTGAAATTATATTAGCAGAGGCTAGGTTGGATAGAGTTTATATATATGCATACCCATGGAATAAAAATTAAAGTGACTTAATCTGAATTTAACTCATAAATGTCACTTCAGCAAATTGAGTGTGTGTGTACATGCAAATTAGGGGTAAATTTTTTTAGTGAAATTTCTTTGTTGCTGAAAGACCTTTTGATATGTGTATGTGTATATAGTAATATGTATATGTATTTGTGTATATATGATGTGTATTTTATTGGATTTTTATATATGTTTTATATAAATATATCTTTATATATCAATGTAGAAGCTGTATCTATATCTATCTATAGATGTAGAAAGCTCTGTAAAGAAGCCTATGTATATCTGTATATGCCCGTGTATATCTTAGGTGGGTGTATCTTACATCCACATATATGTCTTGTCAGTTTTACAACCCAAAAGAGGTTTGTGGCTTGTTTTTTGTTTTGTTTTTTGGGGTGTTTTGTTTTGTTTTGTTTTGTTTTGTTTTTTTGAGAGTCTGGAAGCCATACTGCTGACCCATAAACATGCCAGAAGACAGCACGCCTATTGCCCTGTCACCAGGGAAATTAACCCTGGTACTTCTCTCCAAGCTGCAAGCATTTGCTTGTCAGAGAGATAAGAGTTTTATTTAATTCTCTTTATTAGTGGAATAAAGGCAATTAGTTAAAACAAATAGCTACCTCAGTGGACAGGTGGGTTCAGAGTGAAATGTGAAGGGTGCACAGCAAAAGGCACTGTCAAGTCCCCTTACAGAGAACAGGTTACCTTTCATCTTGAGAAGATATGCATGTAACGGGTTGCAGCTGCATGGCAGTATAAGTAAGGTGTAATTTTATGTGTCTTCATGATGTCTTTTTCACCCGTTACCTACAATGATGTGCTGTGGATGTGCTTATTTAGTAATCAAACTGCTTGCTTTCTTTTCTACATTTTGTCAACTTTATTTCCCCAACAGTATCCATGCACATCACACAGTTAAGTTGTAAAGGGTACAAACACAAACATGATTTGATGGATGCCCTTACATTCTAAAGAGGCAAGTGGGGCGCCCGGGTGGCTCAGTCGGTTAAGCGTCCGACTTCAGCCAGGTCACGATCTCGCAGTCCCTGAGTTTGAGCCCCGCGTCGGGCTCTGGGCTGACGGCTCAGAGCCTGGAGCCTGCTTCCGATTCTGTGTCTCCCTCTCTCTCTGCCCCTGCCCCGTTCATGCTCTGTCTCTCTCTGTCTCAAAAATAAATAAACGTTTTAAAAAAAATTTTTTTTTTCAAATAAAGCGGCAAGTAAGTCTGTACTGCAAGGCAGTGAGTACTGCTGAGGAAAAACAACGCAGAGCAACAGGGGAGAAAGTTGAGCTCTTAGAAACTGAACGTAGAATGGTAGTCCCCAGGCACTGGCGGGCAGGGGGATGAGAGGTATTGGTCAATGGGTACAAACTTTCAGTTATGAGAAGACTAAGTCCTAGGATTCGATGTCCAGCATGGTGACTATAGTTAAGAATACTGTGTCACGTACTTGAAACTTGCTGAGAGTGGATCTTAAGCATTCTCATCACACACCAAACCAAAGGGTAACTGTGAGGTGATGGATGTGTTAATTAACATGATTGTGGTGAATGTTTTACAGTGTATACATATTTGAAATGATTGTGATGTACACTTCAAGTATAGACAATTTTGTCAGTTATATCTAAATAAAGCCAGGGGAAACATTGGGAGTAAAGAGAGTGCAGCCACAGGGGCAGAAGAATGAGGAATAAGTGGGGCTCCTAGGAAAGGAAGTAGAAGTGACTCAGGAGCACAGAGGGGTTTGAATGCTATCCTAAGGAGTTTAATTTTTTCCCCCTAAATTTATTGGCATCCAGGGATTTGTTTATTCATTCACTCCTAAAGTGGAATTGGTAACATGAATGGGGCTGATCTTCAGAAAGATGTGTTTGACACTGCATGCAGGGTGGATTGGATTGGGTCTGCATTGAGGAAGGGACCACTCTGTGTGCTGCCGCAGGAGCCCGGTGAGAGGCCCTGAGGGCTGGAAAGAGGATGCTGGCAATAAAAGTAGAAGGAAAGATGTTCGAGACATTGATAAACAGAAAATTGGCAGACCATGGATGTAGATTTGATGCAACGGCGGAGCAAAAGAAGAAGCCGAGGAGGACTTCAACTCTTCCCTAGGGACCTGGCTGGCAGTGGTGTCATTAACAAAGCAGGAAAGGAAGGGTTTCAGAGAAGCTGAGTGTGATTAGCTAACCAAGTGTTCTACTGGGCCTCCAGGCAGGCAGTTAGAAACTTTGGTATATATATTAAAAAAAAAAAAAAAAAAGAAAGGGGGTAGGCGTTGCCTGGGTGGCTCAGTCAGCTGAGCATCCGACTCTTGATTTCAGCTCAGGTCATGATCCTAGGGTCGTGGCCTTGAGCCCTGTGTTGGGCTCTGTGATGAATGTAGAACCTGCTTGACAATCTTTCTCTCTCTCTCCCTCTCTCTCTCTCCCAACACCCCCTCCCCCAACTCACACTGTCTCTCTGTCTCTCAAAGTAAAAAAAAAGAAAAAGTAACGTTGTTATAGAGCTTAGGAAAGAAACTGGGACTTGAAATACAGGTTTGGGAGACATCTTCCTAGATATTACAGTTGAAGCCTTGGGTGTAGGTAAGACTGAAGAGGGAGAAAAGATCAGAGATTCAAGATACCGCTTGGAAAATTCCTACATAAGGAGGGCAGTAACACAGGAGCAAAGAAATAAGCTGCAAGAGGTAAGGAGCCAGAAGAATTCAGTGGCCTTGAAACCAGGGGCAAAGAAAGTTTCCAGAAGAGGGGCAGTTAGCTCTAGATGTGGCAGAGATATTAAGGAAAACGAAGATAAACAGTTTACACGACGGCTGTCCCATGTTTGAGAATACCCGGCTAACATCCATCACTGCCCATCATTTCCTTTTGTGTGCTAAAATAACTTTAAGGTGTGTAGTTCTCAGTTGTTAAATAGACAGCCAGATGCACACCCTCACACACACACACACACACACACACACACACACACACACACACATCACTGCACACACGTCTGGGGTTCTGTTGCTAGACAGTATTGTGATAGACAGCCAGCTCAAAGTTTCATGTGCTTTCTCCTCCCATCCAGGATTTCTGTAACTATCTGTACAATAGATTACTATCCTGAGGCATCCAGAAAAGGTCTGGTGAATAGGAGAACTCAAAAATAAGTATATCATATATAAAGCTGTGTAAAGGGTACATTTCAGCTGCCTGGTTGCTGAAGCTTTAGGATCTCTACCACTACATGAGAATAAAAAGTTGATGAGGTAGGGGCGCCTGGGTGGCGCAGTCGGTTAAGCGTCCGACTTCAGCCAGGTCACGATCTCGCGGTCCGTGAGTTCGAGCCCCACGTCAGGCTCTGGCTGATGGCTCAGAGCCTGGAGCCTGTTTCCAATTCTGTGTCTCCCTCTCTCTCTCTGCCCCTCCCCCGTTCATGCTCTGTCCCAAAAATAAATAAACGTTAAAAAAAAAAATTAAAAAAAAAAGTTGATGAGGTAGAGAACATTCAGTGATGCTACTAGAGGCTCTCCCACTAGTCTCATTTTTGGTATTTTTATTTTGTTTTAAAGTCTGTCTTAGTCTGTTTGGGCTGCTACAACAAAAATACCACAGACTGGGAGGCTGGGCAGCCCAAGATCAAGGGGCCAGCAGCGAGAGAGCTCTCTGGGGTCTCTTTCATAAGAGCACCAGCCCCATTCATGCAATTCTACCTTCCCAAAGGCCCCACCTCCTAATACCATCACATTTGGGGTTAGGATTCCAACATACAGATTTTAGGGAGGCACAGACATTCAGTTCATAACATGGAATAATGCTGCATTTGGGGGGAACCATTAATTTGTTACAAGAAAATGTTTTGCTTTACTTTTTTATAAAAACTTGCTGTACATATTAAACTTCATGTGGATTCAGGGTCAATGATTTTTTTTTTCTTGGCTATCTAGCAGGTTTTGTAGTAAAAGTTAGGGGGAAGGTAAGATTCACTTAATGGAACCTATTTGCCCAGTAAGCTACTAGAGTACATTTATTCAGGGAAGGGAGGTATAACTGTAGAATCAATTTTGGTATTCTTTTTTCTAGCACAATGCCTAAGAAGCAATGTAGTACTGGGAAGCAAGATTAAAGTAAGCGAGGAAAATAATAAATTCATTTTGGGCTATCTCTGGATGAAAGCTACAGAGAGAGCTTTTTTAAGCTGCAGCAATGACTGGCTTTTAAAAAAGATGCAGAAATGCATTAATCACTGAGTTTAGCAAAACTGTGTGAAAAGCTTAAAATAACTTAATAACCACTCCTTTCATTCCTGTGCTAAATGTAAGATGCATGTAATAAAGACTCTCAGTTTTTTTCATGTCAACATTCCTAACCACATTTATAGTTTTTTTTTTTTCAGGGAAAAGTGCCATATATTTTGAATCAGATGGCTCTCAGATTATTGCTTTAATTTTGTGTTTGTTTGTTTGTTTGTTTGTTTGTTTTGTAGCTGCTAGGTGAACTGATCCTGGACCGACACAACTTTGCCATTATGACAAAGTACATCAGCAAGCCGGAGAACCTCAAACTGATGATGAACCTCCTTCGAGACAAAAGTCCCAACATTCAGTTTGAAGCCTTCCATGTCTTTAAGGTAAAGTGCAACAGAAATAACGTGGGCATTTGCTTTTCACTTTCAAATGGCTAACTCCCTGCTGTTTACTCTCCTTTATACTTGAGAGAAAATGAAATAGGCAGTTTTTCTGTTTTGTGTGACTTGGGTGAAATTTTAGAGTTATTTTAATGAATGCCCATTTGTTTCTAATCCCTATCTCTAAATATTTTCATTTTTTCCACTGAGAAAATAGGTGGATACTGTTTCCCAAACATTACTAAAATAATGAGCGATAGAGCCAGAACCCAAATCCCAAGGGTCAGAATTATTGAATGCTTTGCTTTCTGCCTTAAGTGTTTTTTTGAACCTTAAATGAAGCATTGAAGAAACAGTGGGGCACTACTCACTTTCATTACTTGTTTAGAATTTTTTTTTAAATATGTTTTGCTATGAATGGAAACTAGTTCCCCATAACACCACCTTCTTTCTAACATTTTTTCTTTGATGTAAGAGTGACAAAATGGCCTTCTAGTAATTTTAGACAATATACTTTTTTAAAGCATGGTAGGAGAAATCTGTAATCTGTAATCCCATACTTGTAATCAAACTATTGTAAAGATTTTAGTTAACTTTATTTTCCTGTGCTCATATTTGAAGGTTTTTTTTTTCTGCAGCTGTATTCACATGGTACACAAAATTGATATCGCGATTTTATCACTTAGTGCTATGCCAGAAGAGGTGAACATTAATTCATTGTTGTTATATATGGGTTTTAGAGCCAGTAGTTTTATTAGCATTACAGTTTGTCATTGGATTTAGTTACTCTAGTTTACTTGAAGAGTCCTCTGTTATTTATATTTAGGTTGTTTCCATTTTCCCCACTGTAAGGAATGCTGTCATGAGCATTTTCTATAGCCAGCCAGTTGTTTTTCCATATTTGGGATTATTTTATTAGGATAGATTATCTGGAGGGGTGCCTGAGGGGCTCAGTTGGTTAAGTGTAGGACTCTCGGTTTCCTCTCAGGTCATGATCTCACGGTTTGTAGGTTAGAGCCCCACATCAATTCTGCGCTGGCTGTGCAAAGCCTGCTTGGAATTCTCTCTCCCTCTCTCTGCCCCTCCTCCGCTTGCATGCCTACACATGTGCAAACTCTCTCTCAAAATTGTTTTAAAAAGGATTAAAAAAAGATAAATATCTCTGGAGTAAAATTAAGAGTCAAGGGGGTTCCAGGCTTTTTTTGGATCTTTATGATGTTTATTCGGTGACTGAATTTATAAGTCTAAAAATGGGAGACATGACAGTTTATAAGGTATGTAGCTGTTGCTTTGAGAGGTTAAAAAAAAAAAAGCTTGGTCCATCTTTCAGCCATCGGGTCTTTTTTGGCCAGAGAGCCGCTAGAGAAATTCAAATAACAAATTAATTTATAAATTCCATTCAATTATGTTCAAAATCCCTACAGGACTTCTCATGGAACTTGGCAAGCTGATTCTGAAAGTTATGTGGTAGAACAATGGTCTAAGGTTAGCTATGGCAATTTTAAAAAAGAGCTAGGTAGGGGAATCCACTCTACCAGATACTGAGACTTAAGATTTATAGTAAATGAAGACAGTATTGTATTGGCATAGAGATAGATAAATAAAACAACAAAACCAAGGTAGAGGGCCCAGAAATAAACCTGTACAAACATGAAATGGTTTTGATAGTGGAAGAATTATAAATCAGTTGAGAATAGGTTAACTGTTTAATAAATGGTTCTAGAGTAATGGATTTCATCCATGGAGAGAAAACCCTATACTATACCCTCCAGTATACTCAGAAATAAATTCTCGGTAAAGATCTGCACTTGAAAAGCAAAACTTTTTAACTTTTAGAAGAGAAAATAAGAGACTGTCTTTATGATGTATAGGAGGGAAGAATTCTTTAAACAGAATGTAGAATCACAAAACATAATAGGAAGTATTTAGTTAACTACATCAAAATAGACACCTTTCCAGCTAAAACATCCAGATGGCTAACACACATGAAAAAATGCTCAACATCACTCATCATCAGGGAAATACAAACCAAAACCACAATGCGATACCACCTCACACCTGTCAGAATGGCTAACATTAACAACTCAAGCAACAACAGATGTTGGCGAGGATGCAGAGAAAGAGGATCTCTTTTGCACTGCTGGTGGGAATGCAAGCTGGTGCAGACACTCTGGAAAACAGTATGGAAGCTCCTCAAAAAATTAAAAATAGAAATACCCTACGACCCAGCAATTGCACTAGTAGGTATTTATCCAAGGGATACAGGTGTGCTGTTTCGAAGGGGCACATGCATCCCCGTGTTTTACCAACAATAGCCAAAGTATGGAAAGAGCCCAAATGTCCATTGATGGATGAATGGATAAAGAAGATATGGTATATATATACAATGGAGTATTACTCAGCAATCAAAAAGAATGAAATCCTGCCATTTGCAACTATGTGGATGGAATTGGAGGGTATTACGCTAAGCGAAATTAGTCGGAAAGACAAATATCATATGACTTCACTCATATGTGGAATTTAGGATACAAATCAGGTGAACATAAGGGAAGGGAAGCAATAATAATATAAAAACAGGCAGGGGGGACAAAACAGATGAGACTCCTAAAAGTGGAGAACAAACTGAGGGTTGCTGGCGGTGTTGTGGGTGGGAGGATGGCTAAATGGGCAAGGAGCACCAAGGAGAACACTTGTTGGGATGAGCACTGGGTGTTATATATAGGGGATGAATCACTACATTCTACTCCAGAAATCATTATTGCACTATATGCTAACTAACGTGGATATAAGTGAAAAATAAATAAATAAATGAATGAACGAATGAATAAATAAATAAATATTTTTTTTTAAAAAGACAGAATAAGCAAAGTGAAAAGATAGAATGTGACACATATAACTGGCAAATCATTTGGAAAGACAATTCAATAGAAAAATGGGCAAAGGATGCAAGTTGGTAACTTACAGATGAGAAAGCCTGATTGGTCAATAAGTAGGTGAAGATGATCATCTTACTAAGTAACATTGGAAATGGCCATTGAAATATCAATGAGATATCATTTTACATTTTCATAATGGCAATATGTTTAAGTCTGACAATAGCAAATATTGGTAAGGTTGGACAGCAGTGGAAGCTGTCCTACACTGTAAGTTAGCACAACCACTTTGGAGAGCAATTTAGCAAATTAAAGAACTGAAGTATGCGTATCTTTCAATCCTGAAATCTCATTTCTCAGCAATTGTTTTAAGTTTATTTATTTTTGAGAGAGAGAGAGTGTGTGTGCAAGGGAGAGAGAAGGGAGGGAGAGAATTCCAAGCAGGCTCCACAGTGTCAGCAGTAGCCCGATATGGGGCTGGATCCCACAAACTGTGAGATCATGACCTGAGCCGAAATCAAGAGTCGGACACTGAGCCAATGGAGCCTCTCAGGTGCCCCTCTCAGCAAGTTTTTAGAGACATTCTTGCACATGTGCATGAGGAATCATGTACAAAAATATTTATCACAACATTGTTTAGAATGGTGTAAAATGAGAGAAAAAACCCACAAATGGGCATCAACAGGAGATGGGGAAAATAAATCGTGATATATTCATACAGTAGGATATAGTAATGGGTTAAAATTAATTGAGTTATACCAATCAGCGGGGACAAATCCCAAACACTGAATCAAATAAGGAAATGTTAAAACGATGTTATTTATTTAAAGGTTGAAACCATGCAAAACAGCACTGTATATGGATTCATACTTCTGCAGCTATAGTCTGAAAACCTGTATGGGGATGATAAATACCAAATCCAGAATAGCAGTCACCTCAGTGGGGAGGGTTAGGGAGGAGAATGGTATCATGAAGAGGTGACCAAGAGCCTCTAATTACATCTGTAATGTTTTAGTAAAAAATCTGCAGGCAAGTATGCCAAAAATCTTAGATTTTTTTTCTTCTTACCCAATTCTTTTTCTTTCTTTCTCTTTCTTTCTTCTTTCTTTCTTTCTTTCTTCTTTCTTTCTTTCTTTCTTTCTTTCTTTCTTTCTTTCTTTCTTTCTTTCTCTTTTTCTTTCTTTCTTTTAATATATGAAATTTATTGTCAA